TCCAACCTGAATGATTCTATGATTCTATGAACAACTTCATTTGGATGTAGTTAACTTCAGAAATTAAGAAATCAGAGCAGTAGACTTTTTAATCACGTTCCTTGTTTTATTTCATAGTCCTGAATCAGCAGTGCTTGGAATTTCTTGCAATGCTAGATGTGAAACAACAGAAGGTAGTTCAAGAAAACATGTCCTTGAATAAAAGTGACCTTACAGATTTTACAGGTCTTGAAGTAAGTATGACTCACATGTTTTTCAAAATGGCTGGTTCAAAGCTATGTTTATATTCAAAATATGTAGATAAATTTTGCTTACTGATTATTTAACTGTTTTCTTTGGACCTGTTTTTAGCTAATGACGATATGCCCTTGCATGCCTGTTAATCAGTTTTCTGATTTGTTGTGCGTCATGATTCCTACCTTGCAAAGAAAAAGTAGACAGAAGGAGCATCGGGCCATCTTTTGCAAGACAGCACACCTGTTTTTTTCTTCCAAATGTCTTAACTCCTATGCCTAGCACTTTACTTTACTGAGTAAAAAAAATTCTAATGAGGTCTGCAGGGGGTAGCATACACAGGCCAACAATTTTTGCTTTTAGGTTATCTTGCAGAAAAATATGTTTTACGTATGTTATTGTGAGTCAAAAGAAATCATGCCTAAATCTCTTGTAGCCTGCTTCCCCTGACCCTTAAACTCCCTTTGTAGTTTCAGGATAATTTTTTGCTAGTCATGTGACATCTCTTGGATTGCACTGTATATGCAGACAGATACTTAACTGGTGGTTTGTTTTGGATTTTAAGCTGGCAGTTCTCGGAGCCTGTACCTGCAGTACTTCTGGAGGGCAGCCTTGTCCCTGTGCTAAAATGGCGGCTAAAACTCGAAAGCAACTTCTTCTTCTCAAGCAAGAGGTAATGCTGCTTGGCTTAGATATGAACAAGCAGAGGCATGCTTGTGCTCAAAACCAAATAAAGCCAGAAACACTACTGCAGCTTGCACAAGCTAATGTGTCTTAAAACAAGAATGCTTCTCAGAAGTTTGTAATGCTTGTAATGCCTTAACTTTTGCTGATATAAAACTGTAGTAATGATATCAGTCATCTTTACCAGTAAAAAAAAGATAAATTATTTTTCCTTCCACCCATATTTTTTAATCTAAAAAAAAGGAAAAAAACACTCTAAGTGTATGGACTCTGTAAATGTATACACAGCGTGAGTGTGGACTACCACTGAATGTTTCCCTTCCTTCCTGGCAGTGCATTCTACCCTCACATTGACATCAGCATTCACAAGCCTGCTCACGCATCTAGGTCAGGAACCTGATCTTGCTGAAAACTATGTATTTACATCATGCTCAAGTCGATAACATGATTTGCAAGCTCTTAAGGTTTTAAATTTAGTGAAAATCTATAGTTTTAGAATTTTTATTCTAATTTGTATTTGACTCTGCAAATGTGGTTAACCATCCTCGTGGTCCCACTGCAGAAGTTCCACTTGACTTACTGGGTGCCATTCTTTTGCTCCTTTTGCTCCTGGCCCAGACAGCATATGCCCTTCTTAAGCTCTTCTGCATGTGCGGAGATCTATAGGCAGGGCTGGCAGCTTGTTGTGTAGATGGGTGGTGGTGTGTGCATGTGTAGAAGAGGAAGGGTGGCGACCTCAACAGACATTTCAAAATGTATTTCTTATTGTGGCAAGAAGACTTTGTTTGGTTTCTACTACTTCCCTGATTATATTTATTTAAAAGTTGTCTATGGCTTCCATCTGTCTCTTAATATATATTTTAAATCTGCTGTTGCTTCCAAATTGCTTAACATACTTTACATTTTCTCTGAATTAAAACTAGATTGAAAGTCTGAAGAAGAGTAAAGATGAAGCATACATAATGGCAGATGCCTTCAGAATTGCATTTGAGCAGCAGCTAATGCAGAGGAAGGACCAAGCCCTGAGGCTTGCAGAAATGATAAAGATTAAGAAGGAAACAAAATTTATGAACTGGAGACGTCTGAAAGACGATGGTAACTGGGCATGCTATACATCTGTAGTGGTTGACCAGGAAAGAAGTTAGCTGACAAGTGGCACAGGCAGACTTTCTTGTTGTATTAAATGTATGGTTGTAGTTTAATTGCTGACTGAGGCTTCTGAAGAGTCAAGAAAAAAGGAACAAAGTTATGTCAAAACTGTAAATACGTTAAATAGTGTGTCTTGTAGTTGAAGAATTTCTACAGGAAGTTTCGCATTTGTAGGGGCAGGGTGTCTCTGTGTAAGCGGAATACATAAATACTGCTGTACGACATTGGAGCTACCAGTCTGCACTTTTAATGTAGTCCTTTTTTATTACAGGTTTATCAACTGTATTATCTAAGTAAAGCATGCTGGAATAAATAAGCTGTTATCCAGGATGACAATAATATTCTGGATATTAAAGATGTTTATTGTTAAAACAGCACATAATAGCTAACATCTGGAAAGTTTAGCCTGGACATTTTAGATGCTGTCAGCAATTTAATGTGCTGGGGTTTTTTGGAGTGATCTTTATATAAGAGTTAGGGAAGGAGGAGAAATGCAAAAAATATATACCGAGCTTTCACTGGAATACTAAATGCCACACAGTATTTTATTATGCGTGTGTATCTACATCAGAATTTATTGCTCTTCTTACACTTCACATGGGCATCGGTCAGTTACAAAGCACTCTGTAAAAGATGAATAATTCTTCTTACCTTTTTCTCAAGAAAAAGTGTAAGGAGGAGCGCTTTAAGTGCTTATGTTGTGGTCAAAACCATAGCAGAATTTAGGAATGGCACTTCAAGATATATTTGTGTTAGCCATTGACCTGGAGGTGCCAGGCTTAGAAGTTTGGTTGGTCTTCTAGATTCCTTGAGTGCCCTCGGTCTGTAATACTAGAACAGCATATACCCTGAGTATTTTGTTTCCCATATACAGACATCATTGTTTCCACGCTCTAGATCCTGATACATACATTTCATAATTTGAATGTATTTTAATCTTTTTAGAACTCTCAGAAACAAAGATCTTTTCTTTCAGGCTACCTACTGTTTAAAAACAAATTACTATGAATTACTGTTTAACTAGAATGTCAAAGTGTGTTTTCCAGACAGCAGAAAGAACTTTCTTTTCAGTTTGCCAATATATATGATGAAAGGTCTATTTATGCATTAAGTGGCGGTAAGGGGGGTGCTGCATGCAAGTAATCTGCCATGGTATATCCAGTGGGAGAAGGTGTAGCCCACATTGCCCATTTAGAGGAGGTGGTTCAAAATCCAACTTTAACCATGCCCATTTTATTTTAAAGTAGCTTTTCTCCTGCTAAGCAATTCCACAGTTCCTGTACTTGTTTTCACTAGGACGTGTCAAGTTACAAGGGAATAAGAACAGTCTGGGGCAAAACCTATCCAGCCTGCTCGCATCGGATGTGGACTGTAGGAAGGTTGAGGAGCTAGACAATCCTCATGAAATCCTGAAGATGTTAATAGATTTGGTTAGTATTTTGTTAAACTATTCATCGTGAGTCATTAGGCGAGCAAATACAACTGTTGATTTACATGCACTGCCTTGTTCTTGGCTTATAAACTCCTTTATTTCTTTCTCTTTTAAATAAATACTCAGGTAAATGACAAAGAGGAGGCTCTGGCTCATCAAAGAAAGGTTAGTTACATGCTAGCTCGCGCAATGGAGACAAAAGAGGATGTTTTGGAACATGATAGAGGAAATGCAGGTACACTGGGGTGTCATCAATGTGAAGCCCAGGGGTCATCGGGCCCAGGACACACCTGCTGCCAAAGCTTCCATTCTCGAAACAGCATCTTTTCAGTTCCCGGTGCAAAAACATTCGAAAATCCGGTTAAAATGCTTCGAAAATCACACTCCTGGCCATCTGAGACTATGCACCGCGAAGAAAATAACCCATGTGGAAATGCAGACAAAACTGTAGTGGTGTCTATATAGCCATCTTCTGGAATAAATTTGTTTTTAAGAAAAGAAGGATCTTGTGGAAATGCCTAAAAACATCCTGCGGCTACATCACTGGAGGACAAACTAGGGCAATGCATTAGCTGGTACTGCCTTTAATCATTCAGTAACGGCGCAGTAGCCATTGCTTTGGCAAAGCGTCCAGATTTAATTAATTTAACAGTAATTCCCGAACGCCACAAAGCAGCTGGCAGTTGCCTAAACCCTCGCTTTTGCTTGCCCCTTCCCTGACTCCACTTTATGTGGTGACGAGGCTGACGGAGTAAGCGTCACGTCACCGCGAGGGGTGACGTCCAGAGAAAAGGCGCGGGCGCGCTGGCGGCCCCGCCCGGGGCGACGCCCTCTGCCGGCGGGGCGCGGGAGCGCGTGTGCAGGGACTGCGTCAGTCACACCGCCGGCTC